TCCATATAGGGTCTTGTTTGCTGGCTAATCCCACATATCTTGCTCTATCAGCTACTTTGTGCCTCCCTGAGAGTAGAGACATCTGCTGATTGAAATGAATGAGTGAACGATCAGGACCATAGAGACTGGCCCAGCAGGTGGTGCTCAGAAAAATACCTGCAGAATTGAAATGAATGGACTTACACGGTCAGTGGGACTTTCTCCAGGGGGTAAAGTTCAAGTGGATTAATCAATTAATTAATTCAACATATCACTGGAAATCTCTTAGGATCTGGGTAGTATTCTAGGCAGTGAACGAGAAAGACAAGGTCCCTGTTTTCATGAGCCTATTTATTACTCCCTAGTCAGGGGGAAGACAATACATGGAAACCAATGAGGAAGCAAGATGATATCCTTTTGGTAAATGCTGAAAGCAAAGGGGCTGATGTGCGACAAAGTAACAAGTTACTTGAGTGGGATGGGTGGGCTTCTTTAGGAAGAGTTCTCAGAGGAGACTCCTCTGAGGGGCTTTTGAGCCCACCTGATAGTTGAGAAGGTGACAGCATGGAAGCTTTAGCTTGGCCATGGAGCTGAGCAGTAAGACAAGGGTCACTCATGCCAGGGACGTCAGACAAGGGACAAGAGCCAGGCTACGGAGACCCTTGTGGGCAGTGGGAATAGGTGAATCGCTGGTGCAGAGGAAAGACACTGAGTGGAAAACCAGCCTCCCGTGTACGTGTCCCAGCACAGCTGCTTGGGCTACGGAGGTGGGAACAGCGAGGGCGACAAGTCCATGGACTGGGCATGTATTGAAAGTGGAAGGTGGACCTGGGGAAAGCACCTGCTGCAAGGACATATTCCTTCCAATCCTGCTGTGTACACGGTGACGGGGAGGGGAGCTACCTGGACAGGAAGGAGAGCAAGGTTCCCAGGGAGCAAGAGGTGCACTGAGCGGAAATCAAGGCCTGTGTGTCCAGGGGCATGTTCCGTATCCGAGACATGGAGACTGGTCTGGGTCACCTCCCAGGGCCCTTCGGGGCTAGTGTTCTTGGTGTGTGTCCGTCGTGGGGACCTCCAAATGAGGAAGTGTCAGCGGCTGATTGCTGAGAGCAACGGCCAGGTCCCTATCTCCCGGGCTGTTGGGATGATGCTGGCCCTTTCGCCACCTCTTATCTCCACACGGATGTTGGTCAAGCATGGTGAGCGGGCAGTTGCTCAGCCCCGAAGTTATGGCCAACGAAGTTATGGCCTGTCCTTGCTCTGAAACAAAACTTAGCATGAGAAGGGACTTCCCAGCATGTTATGGAGTGAGGGGCAGGGTGGTGGGGCTTTGGGCTGAATCAAACCTGTCTGTGTCCGTATTTCCCCCACTTCTGTCTCTGGAATCTTCTCCAGCAGATCCTCAAGGCTGTTCTTTGGAGATGTCTCTGTGTCAATTTTCCCTACCCTTCCCCTCCAGCTACACCAACTGCATCTCATCTGGGATAAGAAATGGGTCTGGAGGTCTGGATTAATCTTCTCCGCTGCATGACAAATTGCCACAAATTTAGCAACTCCAAACAGGGCGCATTTACTAGCTCACCTTTGTAGGTTAGAGGTGTGGGCACATCACAACTCAGTTTTCTGTGCAGGGAAAGCTAAAATCAAGGTGTTTTCTGGGCAGTATTCAGATCTACAGTTCAAGGTCCTCTGTCAAGCTCACGTGGTTGTGGCTTAATTCTCTTCCTTATGCTTGTAGGACTGAGGTCCCTGTTTCCTCACAGCAGCTGTCAGATGGGCGCCTCTGGAGATCACCTACGTTCCTTGTCATGCTTCCCTATGAACACTGGTGGTGGGAAATTCAACTCGGGTGGAATCCTCCTATGGGTGGACTCCCTGACTTGGGGAAGAGTCTAATGCCTTTGAAGGCTCACCTGATTAGGCTAGACTCCCCTTGGCTAGTCTCCTTTTCTTAAGCTAATTAACTGTGTCACATGACATAACCCAGCACAGGGGTAAAATACCTATATTCACAGCCTCAGGGATCATGCAGTGTATGTGGATGGGAGCAGGAGAAGGATCTTGGGGGCCTCAAAGCCTCCCAACTACCCCAACGGCCAAGCAGGACATTACTTGTGAAAAATGTTGTGAGGTCATTTCTGGCAATTTGAGAACAAATCCCCCAATTAGAGGCTCTTTTGCCAGTGGGAGGTCATATAAGAATATCACAGAAGGTTGGGATGCTCATCCTAGAGCCACCACACTAGATGTTCTCGGTGATTGCGGAACTTCACGGAAGTTTGGGATGCTCATCCTAGAGCCTCCACACTAGATGTTCTCGGTGATTGCAGAACTTGGAGGCCTTTGAAGCCGTTCGTTGTTTCCAGGTTGATAAACCATGGGGCAGGTATGGGAGGGATGCAGGTGGAGGTGAGGGCTGGATGGCCTGAACTGGGTTCTAGAGCTGCAGAGTGTTGGTCATGGGAAGACACCAACCAGCTCCTCGGCATTGGTCGCCTTCGCCACGGTGACCTCTGCTCGGTGCTCTGTGTACACATGTGCTCCACGTGCTGCAGCCACGCCTGCAGTGCCAGGTCCAGCCCAGGCAGTCTGAACAGGGGCTGCAGCAAGCTCTCCCTTGAGGCTAAGGTTGGGATGAATCCCCAAGAATGAGATTAGGAAGATGAAATGTAAGGATGGCCCGTTGTGGTCCCCATTAGGATGCTGCTGTGCAAATGAGTGCCTGAGTCTGTTTAGGGACATCCTAATGAGTGCCTGAGTCTGTTTAGGAAAGGAGGTAGTCCTGAGATTCAGGACTGTGCAGTGTTGACCTAATGCTTCTTGGGGGGATGGGCAGGCCTGAGACAGGAGTTGAGAGGAATGACAGCAAATCCCCTTTCTCAAAGTCTCTGGGCCCCAAGACTCTTTGCTCCCACTCAAAATCCAAGGCTACTGAGCACACCGCAGCTTGTGATGCAGGGAGAGAATGTGCTGAGCAGAGGGCCTGGCAGGTGGGTCTGCGGTGGGTAGAAGTCAACCTGAATGATGTCATTGGCACCAGCAGTAGACATTGGTCCCTTGAGAGTGTGATTAATGTGATTCAGCCCCAAAGACCTCGATCACTTCTGGGCCTGATATTGTGAGTAGCTGTCATTTGTCGAGCAATAACTAAATGCCAGTTCCTCTGCTAAATGCCGCATCAGTCAGGGCTCTTAGTGGCAGGCAAAAGAATTTCTCCCTGGCTGATCTGAGTAGAAAAAGGAACTTATTAAAAGGAAATGGGGCATCTCATGAAATTGCAGCAAGGGCTAGAAAACCAGTTGGGGCCCAAACCAGAACATAGCAGCACTCCTGCCCACCTGTGACCATGAGGTGGCTTCCTTTTTCTTTGTCCTTTTCCTAATAAACCTGTCCTTTTAAAATGTGGGGGGAAAAACAAACGAAAAACAAAACCATAACACAGAACAGGTCTGGGGAGGATCCCATTACTCCTACAGCAGTGTCAAACCCTGTGGCTGGCACCCAGGATGCTCTCAGGCTTGGGCGCTGGATCCATCCTTAGCATTGTGGCCACTGCAGGATCCTTAGCTTTGGGCCGCAGGAATGAGATCTTGTCATTACCATCACCAGAAAGAGTCTTCTTGGCCCTCATTTTTTAATCACTATAGATTCAAAGTCTTGGATGGATGCTTCTATTTGATCTAGCCTGAGTCATGTACTCATCAAGTTTGGCACTTTGATCTTCAATAATGAGGGGCCTGCCCCCCACCAAGTCCACAAGAGGAGGGATTCCAAGAAACACAGGGAAGTAGTGATTGGGCCAGGCACTTGGCATGTCTGCCATGCATGCATGATCTCATTCATCCCTTCTGAATGAAGGGAGGTAGGTAGGTTATCCTACTTTAAATCATGATAATGAGGTACAGAGAGGTTAAGGAATTTGTGCAGAGCCATACAGCTCTTAAGTGGTAGGCCCTAGATTCAAACTCGGATTCATCTGACTCTGTTCTTTCACTGTGTGTCAACGAAATGGAATTTCTAGAATCACTAAGATGTGGATTTCAGACTTGGATTATGTGACCCCAAAAGGAGACTTCCTTGGGAGTAGGGGTGCCTAAGTGGCCAACTAGCTTCCAAGAATCAGCTCCATTCTGCATGCTCTGAAAGCAATAGCTCTGCCCAGCCTACAAAGTGGCCTGCTGGGAGGGCCTGAGAATGGGAATGAGCAGAAGCCAGCACAAAGCTCCTGTTAAGGCTCTCATGGAGTCACTTCCTTGATGTCTGCTTGGTCTCCTTAAGTCAGTGGGTACAGGTGAGGAATGCTTCCATTCCTCGGCTCAAGATGGGATGCCTTTTCCTCTGTTTTTCCTGCCCCTTCCCTATGTGTACTCTGTTAACTTTGGCCATAAAGCAAAGAACTTTTGCTCTCCTTTGCTAATGCCAAGGGCATCCCACCTCCACCTTTGCTCCTGCTGTTCCTTCTACCCAGAACACCCTGCTTCCTTCCTTTCTATTCACCACCAATCCACCCAGACCAGAGTCAGCTCCTTGTTTTCATGGAGATGTTCATTTCTACAAACACAAACTATACACAACTTCGCAAAAGGATTCTTATAGATAATTTCATTTCCAAAATATTGTCTCCAAAAAGTGAGATTGTTCAAATGATATTTGCACTGGTAATTTTAGGAGATATTGACATTTCTTTCCAAAATGTCAGTAGCAGTTTACATTTGCACCATTAAAGCTGGAGAACTGTGTATTTTGGAAAAGCTCAATAGAAGATTCTGCAGTGCAGCTCAGATGAAGAAGCCTTACCCAATGCAATGCCAAAATGGCCTGCAGTTTCCTGAAGGGGGTGTCAGGAGAGAATCTGGAAGCCAAAGAATGGGCTCCCCATGGAAGTGAAGAAACAGTTCTTATCAGCCCTCCCACTTCCTCAGGCTGGGGCCAACCTACCTTCTTCTATGGAGCTTCCTCTGAGCTACCCTTATAAAAACCCATTAGAGGATGGAGCAAAGGCAGATCTGAGTTCAGCTTGCTCAGGAGTTAGGAAGACTTCTGGACAGGTAAGTGTTTTTCCTCTTGCCATGAAGCAGGTTCCAGCTCAGTGCTCATCCTCCTGGGAGGCGCCTGGCCCAGACGGAGAGGTTCTGGAGAGTGGGCTGTGATGTCAGCAGAAGCAGGATGTCCTCCTTCACATTCCTTCAGAGGGGTGGGAAAGCTCTCCTGGGCTGGGGAAGGCAGGAGGTGGAGTGTGGGTGTGTGTCTGTTTGAGCTTGGAGAAGGGATACATGTTCTAAGTGTTGTGTGCTCCTAAGGTAACCAAGAATCCTATCTTGGTTCTAATTAAACACAAGTAAATAAAGGTAATTTTTCCTTCTTCACATCCAGGAAAACCAGCTGTGGCTGCCCCTTGTGCGTTGTCTGCCTTATTCTATTCCAAATGAGGTCCTTGCATCTCAGAGCACCAGGGCTGGGCTCTGCAATTAGCTTTCCTGGCCTTTCCTGACTTCTAAGTCATATCTCCTTCTCTGCCTCACTCCCAAAGTCCCCTAATTGTGTGTGTGTGTGTGTGTGTGTGTGTGTGTGTGTGTGTGTGTGTGATAAACTGTGTTCTCCTTTGCAGAGCAAAGTCAAGATGAATATCCCCTTACTTCTGGCTCTTATATTTGGAGCAGCTTCTGCTCTTCATCTGGGTAAGTATCCCCCGCTATCAGCCTTTTCTAATTTGCTCTCTTCTATAGCATCAGGGGTCAGAGTCACATAGCCCACCTCCTGCTTGGCCACCCCCTATTTCAGAATCTCTGCACATAAAGGGGCAGGGACTCTAGAATTGGGAGTTGCAGGGGCTCCTCAGGGTATCTTTGCGTCTGTAGTCTTGGCTCTACATCATGCTAATGATGATCACAACATAATCTTCCTTTTACTCTGAGCTCACTGAGTGCAGGGTGATAAGCATTTTCTATGCATTTTCTCCCTTAATCCTCATAGCGTGTAGTGTTACATACCCATGTCACAGAGAAATTAAGCTGGTAGATGTTGGAACCAGCAGCCAAAACCACAATTGCGTGGCTCTGAGTCCTTGCTTTAATCCCCATAACTTCATGTGGGAGACTGGGTTTTCTTCATGGAGGCTGGGTTCCAGGTTGCTCTTTCCAGAGCTCAGCAGGCTGATGGCACAGGCTAGGGGGAGCTGTCCATGGTACTGGGGAAGAACAGGTGAAGATATGGTATAGAGGGGTGACTTACTCTTTCTCCCTGCCAGAGACTACCAATTTTGGGAGCCCCCTGGTAGATGAGACCCAGCTTCAAGATGGGAAGACCCCAGAACACGAGGCAAATGAGGTCCCTATGGGGGAATTGATGCAGCTGCCCGAAGAGGAGGAAGGAGGTTCTGGAAGTGAAGGTTTCCTTGAGGAAGAGAGGGCTGTCGAATCAATCCCAGACCAGGGTGCGGTGGACAAAAACTTTCAGTGCCCTAAGGAAGAGGACACAGTAGAACTTGCAGGCAGACCTGGGTGCAAGTACTGCCGACGCTACCTCCTGGTGAGACGGGCCATGAATTTTAACCATGCTCAGGTGAGTAGCCTCTGGATGAGGCTGAAGTCTTGGGATAGGGGTGGGGGTGGAGGAAGGCCTCCAGCCTCCATGTGGCTGGTTATTTTCACCAGTTAGGACCTGAGACCCACGCAGGTGCTGGAGGTAAGAGATGAGGGTCAATTTGAAACCCAAAGTACAATTTGATCTCTAGTTTTCACATGGTTGTGTGGTAGGAGTGAAGGGTGGAGAAGAATTTTGGAGACTCAGAGATCCAAGATGAAGACCACATGAATTCCTGTGGGAGGGGCACTCAATTCTTCCTTTTTTATTCTGCTCTGCAGTATACTTGCCGAAGTTGCTACCGGGGCAACCTCATCTCCATCCACAACTTCGGCCTCAATTACCAGCTCCAGTGCTTAGTCAGGGGACTCAACCAGGGCTACGTCTGGATTGGAGGAGTGGTCACAGGAACGGTAAGACAGTCTCAGCTCTCAGTGGAGGGCACCCCCCAACCCTGGCCAGTGCTCAACTTGCCTCAGGTTTGCTGTGCTTCCCCTCTAAGGTCCCCTGGAAAATGGGGGGTCGATGGGCACCAAAGGAGGATACTTAGGTGTTGGGGAGAGCCAAGGATTTCAAATCAGAGGTGTGGACCTAAGGTCACTCAGCCTTTGTCTATATGATTTGGGCAAGACTGAGTCTGGCTCGTCTCTGGAGAGAGGTCACACCTCCTGCTTGGCCTCTTGATGGCTGTGTCACTGGGATGTGCAGGATGTGATGGTGATGACTTCCATGGGTCAGCATCCTGACTGACCAGGACAGTGTCCATTGCAGTCCAGCAGTCAAGGGCAATGCTTGGCAGACACAGGAGGATCTGGCAGGGGCTGCCTTCCCTTTGCCCTCATGCCCTACCTTCCCCCTCCTGCCTCCTCCAGGGTCACTGCAGACGTTTCCGCTGGATGGATGGCAGTTGCTGGAATTTTGGGTACTGGGCTTCTGGCCAGCCCTCAGCCTGTAGTGGTGGCTGCGTGACCATGTGTACCCGAGGTGAGGTGGCGGGGGAAGGCGGGTGAATGATGGGGAAGGATGGGCTTGGGAGAGGGCCTCAGAGAGCAGGTTGGCGCCAGAAAGCACTGCCTGAGCCTCCCAAGGGAGCTGCCTCCTGGGTCTTTAGATTCATCTCCCCTGAGGTGTGGGGCAGGGAGGGGAAGAGGCCCTTTTGGGGCTGAGCTGGGCAGGGCAAGAGGCTAAGAGTACCCCCTCACCCCCAACCCCGGTCTGCCTTACAGGAGGTCAGTGGCGTCTAGCACACTGTCTTGCACAGCTTCCCTTCATCTGTTCCTACTGAGCTGGACCCTGTGGCACACTCCTACGTGGCGGCCTCCTCCCCCCTGCATGCTTCCCCTTCCCCCCACACCCTACAATAAAATTCTTTTTCTGAAACCGATTTCTTTCTACTCTGATTATTGATCCACTCTGCTCAGCTCCCACCTGTAGTGCCCAAAAGTTATCACTCTCAAGGAGATGGGGGCTCCCTTGAGATAAGGGGTCTTCCTGGAAACTTCCTGGAGACAAAGAATGGGCCTGCTTGGCTCTTCATAGAGCAGGATTCCCGGATGCCATCCCTATCTCCACAGCCTCTCAAGGTGATGCTCAATGTCGTGGATTTGCCCCAGGGCTTTCTTTCCCTCTGTAACTGGTTGCCATAATGTGCTGGGAAATAAACATGTCTCTGGGGAAAGTCCACAGTTCCCAGGAGTGGGTATGTGGGTGTCACCTCACGGGGCTGCAGTGGTGGAAGCAGCGCGGGGTGAGGGAAACATCACTCAAAGTCCACATGGAGCAAGGAGAAGCCTAGAGCGGCCACACTGGAAGTGACGTGGAGCCCCATCAAAGGCAGTCTAATATTTATTAGCACTGAGTACAAAGATGGAGCAAGTTCATAAGGAGTGTGCATGCGTGGGGATAGGATTAGGGATATAAGCTGGGGTGGAGTGACCAGGGGCTGTATATTGCCTAGAGGCGCCATTATTCCTGCCAGTATGAGTGTGTTATCTCTATTCTAATATCTGCCTGCTGTTATCAGCAAATCCTGGTTTCCCAGGATGTTCCTCATACCAGGAATTTTGCCCTTGGTGACCCTATACTAGCTGACAAGCAGGGACTCTGGGCACCAAGACAATATTCCTGAGAACAAGAGGGGCTGGGAATGTTACAGGACAGGGAGAGGGGACCACCCTGTTACAGGAACTCCACGTGTGAGAACCGCAGTCTCTTGCCCTTGAGGAGGAGAAGTCTAGGTCACACATTGAGTACCGTTTCCCAGGCTTCTCCTTCATCCAAATGGGAAATTTTGCTATTCTCTATTATTGAGGAGTAAAGGAAGCAGTACCTTTCCACACCAGAACATAAAGCCCACGAGGGTAAAGAATAAACTCCGCCCCAGCTGCCTCCTCCATGCACCCAGCTCAGGGCTGAGCCCCTGAGTATTTCAGAATCCCACCCACTTTGACATCAAGGTAGCTGGGTTAACAACATGCATTTTACTGTGAATACTCCTCTTCCCTATTACACAGGCTCAGTGTTCCTGAGCCTCCCAAACTCCTTGTTTCTGGAGAAACCCAGTATCAGACAAGTTGGTTTTCTTTAAAGATTTATTTTATTTATTGATATAAGAACTGGGGTATAGGCCTGAGGTTCAGAGGGTGAAAGGATTCACCAGAGATAGTGGGGAGCAGAACAGGCAGATTTACTGAAACACACTGCTGAGGGGAGCAGCAGGGAGATAGGAGAGGTCTGCTGTGCCATGTGGGTCAGCTCCCTGGCTGGGGATCAAACTCATGTTGCAGTAGCTGCTGATAGCTTGTTAGGACTGAGACTTTAACCCCTGCACCACCAAGGAGGCCCAGTATCAGACAACTTGTTACACGTCCAACTGCATATACAGCGCAGGAAGATGATAAATTATACCTGTTGCCATTTGGGATCATAAGTTGTTTATAATACAAGCATCTACTAATCATTACTGTCTATTGTGTGTTCCCTGCCTGTCAGGCACCTTCCATACATGACCTTGTGTGATCAATAATTACAACCCCACTTTACAGGAGCAGGGTTGGGGTGGGGGGGCACAGTTAGGACCCATTAAAAGACTTGTCCAAAGCTGAGCATCTAAATGTGACTAGTGTTGGTGTTGGACCATCTGCTCCAGAGCACATTCCTTTAATCATATGATCCCATGGCTGGAAACGTGGGCCACTCTCCCCTACAGGACATGGTCATGTGTGGCGGGAGCACAGCGGGTAGGAACCCTTACTCTGGAGCTCATCTTGGGGCACAGGACTCTAATTCAGCTGTAGATGGGGAGTCCCAATCAGAAGAAGGAAGGCATTGCAAACCCTCTCCCTAAGGAGGTGAGCAGAAATTAAAGGGCCAGTTCCCTGAAACCCCTTTCAACCCAGATTCCTCCAAATAGGAGAAGTACAGATAGGACCAGGGTCTTAGGGGCAGGTGAATAAAGACCTTCAGTTTTTTGAGTGTGATCTGAATAGGAGAAGCTGCTTGCTCAAGGCTGCATGGTAAGTTGAGAAAGAGATAAATATCAAACGGTGGTTCATCATAACTGCTGTTCACCGGTCTGTTGATTTCAAAGTGGGTGAGATTCTGAAACACTCATGGGATCAGGCCAGTGGTGGGTGTGAGGAGGAGGCGGGTGGGGCAGACTTTGCTCCTTGCCCTGGTGGGCTTTCTATTCTGCTGTGGAAAGCCACTGCTTCCCTCTATTCCTCTATTAATAACAGAGAGTAACAAAGTCTCCCATTTACTGAGCATTTACTAGGTGCCTGGCTCTGCGTTCAGTGGTGGATGGACTGTCTTGCTCCTCATAAAGCTCCTCTGTTGGGGGAGGGTGTTGTGACAGAAGTGGGACTTTCAGTCCCTGTAGATCCTCTTTGGAGGGTTAATATCAAGAAGGGGGCATGACAAAGTCGTATCTTGACCTGGGCACAGTTACTTGGGTACATTTACTCTGTTCAAACTCCTTAACGGTGCCCCTTACTTTACAGGGTGCATGGTGGATGTCTACACACACAAAAACAGTCTTGAAAAAGTAAAAGGAATAAAATAAGAGGGTTGACCTGTCGTCCTAAAATATGGGTTTGTGTATGCACATTTTTCCTCTCCAACAAGACCCCAAGTAAGCTCAGTGGGACTCAGATCACATTTTTGCAATGGAATCCGTTTGCAAAATAGCAACACCCTGTGTTTATTTGTTGATTAGGGCCAAAATCCCAGTCCCTGCTTCCTGACATGGGCACCCCAGTGCCCCCATGCCAGGCTGATCTCATGAACAATACATCCTGTCATCAGTCACATCTTGAAGTGAGAAAATTTGGACTTGTGATTTCATTATACAGTTGAACAATCTGTATACAGATGAACAATTGTACGCCCTTGAACAATGTGGAGTTTGGGGCATTGATACAGTAGAAAATCCATGTAGAACTTATATTCGTTTTCTATACCCAAAGGATCCTCATGTTCAACCAATCCATGTGCATGGTTGGTTGAGTCCAAGAGTGTAGAACATGCATATAAGTGGACCCTACAGTTCAAACCCATGTTGTTGAAGGTCAGTGCTGTTTCTCAAGATGGAGAGTCCACCCTCTCCTGAATTCTGAGACAATAGCCAAAACAGGAACCTAAATGCAAATACTAAATCAGAGAGTTGGAGGTTTTCATGGCACTGTCTGGGGGTAATGCATTTGGGCTCATCAAGGAAAGCAAGAATGTGGGAGTCAGACAAATTCTACAGGCCACTTCTTATGGGTGGTATGACCTTGGGCAAGTCATGTAAGCTCTCTGAGCTTCTGCAGTGGTTATGGAGACTAGAGACAGCAATACCTAATATGTAGAATGACTATAGAGATCAAGTAAGTAGGATCATAGATATAAACACCTTAATGGAGCATAACATTTGGTCTGTGGTGGACCTTCAAAAATGTTCTGTCCACTTTTAAAGTAGAGGCATCCTCATTTAGAAAATCTGAATAAGAGACCAGGAAAAAGACTAATCAATACAAAGTAAATATCAAAATCAACAAGCAATTATAAACCAGAGACACACTACAGAGGGGGGGAAGGAGAGGTGGGGAAAGGAAGGACTAGAGTCAAAATAAGGGGGGGGGGTGCAATTGTATGGGGAATATTGCGGCAGGCTGCGCCTCCCATGCTGTCTCTTGACATGGTCCGGGCATTGGGGGAGTCTCCTGAGAAGCGGGGAGTTCCTGTGCTCCCCCGAAGAGGGAAAGTTGTACTTCCCGGAAGAGGGGAGTTCTTGCACTTCCCAAAGAAGATCTGAACTAGGGAGTCTCCATGGCAATGCCTGCTAAAGCTCTCCTCTTTGTTCTTGGTTAATGCTGAAGTAAGTCAGTTATTAACTGGCATGTGAAAACCTAATTCGGACCCAGGTGACCATTGGCTCATTGTTCTTACACATGAACTATCACAAAAGAAGTAAAAATTGTTAAAGGTATAGTTAGGAAAGAAATGTTTCAGCCCTGAGAACTATGGAGAACAAGCTGCCCTGAACCAGCTGTGCTTGGAAACCATAGCCTAACTTGGGGGGTACCTGTTTGCAGCAACAATACATCTCCTGATGTATGTGAAAGGCCAACAGTTCGCAGGGTGTGTGGAGGTTAGGAATTTCTAGTTAAGAGTTAGACTTCAGTAGAACTTACATAGATTTGATGAGTTGTTTTAGGTCACTTTGAAGTAATTGATAATAGGCTAGATGAACTGGGTGCTAGAGAATGGGTTGATTTTAGTAATACAGCATAACAATGGACTGTCATGTCTACCCCAAAATTAGGGAGGCTTGACAGGATGATTGATTGTTACTGAACATTGTACTGTCTTAGACAACTGATTATGTTAGAAAATGAGTTGTACCAAGGAGAGTAATTGTCCCTGTTGATTTTCTTAATCAGATTAAAGAAGTGTCCTTTTGTAGTATGAGATCAAGAGGGTCTTTGTATATTCATGAGAAAATACGTAATGATTATCTCTGTTCTGCTTTGATGTTTTGCTGGTGTTATCTCTCTGCTCGCCTTAAGGTATAAATAAAGACCTGCTGGGCCTCCCTGGTGGCGCAGTGGTTGAGCGCTGGGTTGCGAAGCTGCCCACAGCCTCTGCAGTGCCGGTTCAATCCCCGGCTGCTCCCCGGCTGCTCCCCGGCCACCGGAGGAGGGTCCCGCATGGCGTGCAGACCTCTCCTGCCGCCCGCTGCTCCCCTCAGCAGTGTACTTTGGTCCTTCTGTCTGTTCTGCTCCCCGCTCTGGCTCTGGTGAATTCTCTCACCCTCCCGTGCTTCTGACTATACCCAGTGCTTGTATAAATAAATAAATAAAATAAAATAAATCTTTAAAAAAAAAAAAAAGACCTGCTGAGACCCTCCGCAGGAGATACTTGCACGAACTAAGGTGTCTGTGTCTACCTCTCTTCTACCTTGCTCCACTTCCCCTCAGCCCTCCAAAAACTTCACCGATGCCATCCTCTCCTTTCTGAGATCCCTGACACGACTTCTAGCTGGAGCTGGTCTCCAGCAGAATATAACCAAAATGAAAATGCATACATTGTGCAAAGATGAAAAAAGATGTAAGAATTATATAAAATAAAATATTTAAATAAAAAAAAGTAGAGGCATCCCCACAGTTATTGAAGAGACCATTGACGTGAAGGGAATGCTTGGCCTAGGTCTGCATCAGAAGAAAACCAGGTCCATGCTGGGAAGGGATCAGCTGCAGGGAAGGGAGTCAGAGAGAGGAGGCAGAGGAAAGAGGACTGGAAGACCTGGGTTTAGCACTGCCTCCAGCCTGCTGGGTCATCTTGGGCAACTGGTTTAAGCTCTCAGATCCTGAGTAAAGCAGGAATGTTCAAGTGAAGCTAAGCATGTAAATGGAAGCTTTCCATGGTGTTGGCTCATGGGAGGAGCCTGTCCTGTCTCCCCGCTGCTACCCTCAGCCGATTGCATTGGTCATCCCAACCACTGGTGTAGGGCCCAGGATGAAGGATGAAAATGAGGCCTGCCCTCCCCATGGCCTCACTAGAGAGGTCTCAAGCTTGAGATCCAGGCAGAGCACTGGAATTGGCCAATTCTGCCTCCTGGTCAAGCAGATAAGCAGGTGTCTTGGTCTGTTGGACCAGGGAGATAGCCGCCAAGTCTGTTACTCTGCAATCGGGCCAGAAGTGACCGTTCAGCTACTTCTTCATTTGTAGGCCCCCAGGAGAGCAGAGGTGGGGGGAGAAGCCAGATCTTTTCACCTCTGGGTTACCTGTTCCTGGTGCTCTAAGCAAGGAAAAATTACGCACTAGGGTGTCCCAGAGCCCACCCTGAAAATTCCACTAGCTCCTGGCAGTGACCACCAGCAGCATCAGCACCTGCTGGTCTCTCAGATCACTGTGAATTTGACTGGAGCTTGGTTGATTCAAGTTTTGATAGTCATTGTGGATTTTTTGCATTTATGTGATTTTAAAGAATGATTGCACTAAAATATTATTTATCATCACTGCTGAATTCTTTAGTGTCCCCTTAAATTTTGCATTTGAGGAGAGCACTTCACTCACTTCCCCTTGTGCTGGTGACAGCAGGCTGGTGGGAGATGGGGGGTGGGAGTAGGAAAGGGGACCCCGATAACTCCATGGTTCCTCGTGGAGCTTTCCTCTCTTAGCCATTGCCGTCTTACTAGAAGATGTGCCTTGAGGTTGGACAAAAACGCATATTCTAGACCAGCAATCCTCAACTGGGGTGATTTTGTTCCCCAGAGAGCATTTGGAAGCATGTGGAGATATTTTGATGGTCGTGACTGGGGGGTGTTATTGACATCTGGTGGATAGAGCCCGAGGAAGCAGCTCAACTTTCTGCAATGCACAGAGAGCTCCCCACAGCCAAGACTTACTTAACTCCAGATGGTCATAGTGCAAAGGTTGTGAACCTTGGTGTAGATTCACAGTTTAAAAGAAAAAGCATAGGCTTGTTTTGCACATGAAAGATGAGAAAGAGAGGGACATGAAGAAGAGTGGGAGAGGAAGAGAGGAAGGGAAGGAAAGAGGAAAAGACACAAAGAAGGGCCTCCCTGCTGGTGCAAGGGGGTAAGTCTCAGCACTATGAAGCTATCAGCAGCCACTGCAGCATGAGTTCAATCCCTGGCCAGGGAGCTACCCACATGGCACAGTAGATCTGTCCTGTCTCCCCGCTGCTCCCCTCAGCAGTGTATTTCAGTTGATCCTCCCTTTCAGCTTTCCGCTCTGTCTCTGGTGAGTCCTCCCACCACCACCACCCACATTGCATCTCTGGCCTACACCCCAGCTCTTGTATGCATAAATAAATCAAACAAACCTTAAAAAAAAAAAAAAGACACAAAGAAGTTTTGGGGCCAAAAAGCCTTAGAGATCCCAGTTCCCCTACCTCTGGTGGAACGTGACAAGTCCCTCTCTGTCTCTGAATCTCATTTTTCCCAGTTGTGCAGTAGGGACAGGCACTCTCATGGAGATGAGGGGAAGGTGAGGGCTCATGATGTGATGCATATGAAGCACCTGGATAAGAGTGCAGGGTGCTGGGCCTCCCTGGTGGCGCAGCGGTTGAGCGCTGGGTTGCGAAGCTGCCCCGCAGCCTCTGCAGCACCGGTTCCATCCCCGGCTGCTCCCCGGCCACCGGAGGAGGGTCCCGCATGGCGCGCAGACCTCTCCTGCCACCTGCTGCTCCCCTCAGCTGTGTACTTCGGTCCTTCTGCCTGCTCTGCTCCCCGCTCTGGCTCTGGTGAATTCTCTCACCCTCCCGTGCTTCTGACTGTACCCAGTGCTTGCATAAATAAATAAATAAATAAATAAATAAATAAATAAATCTTAAAAAAAAAAGAGTGCAGGGTGCTGAGGCTCCTTGGCCTCACCCTCCTCTTCTTTGCTTGGGGTCCCCTGTGCATTTGTTAGGATGTTGACCAGAAGAGGCTGTTTCTGGGGGGGGGGTGTTGCTCAGGCCAGGACACTTTAAGGGCACTAATAATAAGTTTGCCTGTAGACATCGGGGTCTCTCCAGCACACCAGGCTGTGGGCATCTGCACGCGGTGGCAGGTTCCAACAGTCTCAGCAGAGAGAGGCTCAAGGGCAAGAGAATTGAGCAAACATTTTATTATCAGGTCCACTGCCCCCGACCCCAACCTGAGGCAATCATCCTGGCCTCTTCCCACTTCCCCAAAATCCCAGTATAAAGGCCACCGGTGGGGCCCAGCAGCCAGAGGCACTGGCAGTGGAGGTCTCGGACACTTAGGAGGTGAGAATCTACCCCCCGCCCACTTCAGATGCTCAGAGAGGAGGGATCCAGGGCCTGGGAGGGAGCAGAACCCTGTCTGGAAGACACCTTGGAGGCTTTGCTTAGGGCAATAATGGCCACTGTCCTTCCCCAGTGTGTATGAAATGGAACCTGAGCAGGGCCGTTCCTGCGGGAGCAAGGGTCCAGCCTACGCGTTCCCCCAGGAGCAGAAATGGCACTCTCAGGAGCCGTCACCCCAGAGTCTCCAGCTCGGGGTCTGTTCATTGGAGGTGGAGGAGGCTCTTACATTAGCTAAACCTTGTGTCTTTGCTAGGGGCTGTGCAGACACAGGACATCCCCAGGGAGGGAGGTGGAGCTGCGTGCCCGACACAGGAGTGAGGAGACATGAATCTCCCCCTGCTCCTGCCCCTTCTCCTGCTGGGGACAGTTGCTGCTCTTCATCTGGGTAAGTCCTCATCCATGTCTGTTCTCCTCTTCACCTTTTTTGTTCTCATGGGGTCAGGGTCACAGCCTCCCCTCTTCAGTTGCCCCCCTCATCCCTGATTGGATTTCTCCTGGGCTCACAACTGTGACTTGAGTCACAGATGAAGAAAATCTAGCTGCCTGTGAAGATGAACTGTTTCTCACAGGAGCTTCCTCGCCCGCCTGCCCAACACATGCTGTTGGTGTCACCCAGAAGTCAGGTTCCCACCCATTTGTGTGTGTGACCCAAGAGTTCTCTCTTCACCATCATTGAGGAGACCACTCCAGTTGGGGATCCAGATGGTGTCCCCAGGAGGGCTTGAGGGGGGCTGAGATGCTGTCCATGGTCCCGGAAGAGGGGAGCAGCCACCCTCACAGCTGGTGACCTCTTCTTTGCAGAGAATGATGCCCCCCATCTGGAAAGCCTGGACACACAGTCAGACCTAAGCCAGAATCTGGAAGGTTCAGGGGAGCAAGGGGGAGAGTTGGCGCTGCTTGACGAGGAGATTCAGTCAGAGGAGGATATGGCCAATTGTTCCGACAATCCCGACAACTTTGAAGATGAAGAGGAGGACATGGAGTCGGACTCAGATGACCAAGATGAGGACAAGGACTTGCAGTGTCCCCCGGAAGAGGACGCAGTTAAACTGCCAGGCAATCCTGGGTGCAAGGCCTGCCGCTACCTGTTGGTTCGGAAAGCTCGGTCATTTAGAAGGGCTCAGGTATGTGCCAGGGAGGCTCCCCAAGAATATTGGTGGGAAGAGGATAGAGGGATGCAACCTACTGTTTCCTATTTCACCTGTATTAGTGGTTCTCCAAACCTAGTGTGCATCAGAATCTCCTAAAGGTCTTGCTAAAACAGAGATTTGTAGTTTAGCAGGTCTGAGGTGGGGGGGTGGGGGTGCGCTGCTCAAAGAGTGCTTTTATAACAAATGCCTAACAAATGCCTAGGTGGTGATGACATTGTTGGCCTGGGGACTACGCTTTGGGAACCACAGATTTAGACAACAGTGTTTGGGGTTAGATATACCTGTGTGAAATCCTGGCTCTGCCCATTATTATCAAGCCACTTGAACTTTCAGAACTTCAGAATCTATATCTTAAAGTGAAGATACATTGTTCCAACCTCTAGTGTTGTGAGGACTAACTAGAATGGCTAGTCTCTGGGTAAACACTCAATCATTATTCTGAGCATTATTGTTATTATTCAAGAAGTTTCTGACAACAGATAAAGGAGCAAGATATGGGATGGAGGGGAGCAAGTAGGTCCTGATTTCTGACCTGAGGAAGGGTACAGGGCTCTCTTCTAGAGACTCAGGGACTTGAGAGAAGCCAGCGAGAATGCTCTACTTGACCTCTTCTCTCTGCAGAACATCTGCAGGAGGTGCTACCGGGGCAACCTCATCTCCATCCACAGCTACAGATTCAACTATCGCCTCCTGTGCTTGGCCAGTAGGCTCAACCAACGCCAGGTCTGGATTGGAGGCCAAATCAGGGGCTGGGTAAGTGAGGGGACGGGATTCCCTCAAGGGGCACCTGTGGCACAAAGCCCCATTCCAGCAGCTGAGGTGACCTCAGAGAGGCAGGCAGTGAGGTGCTCAGGCTGGTTTGTCTTGGCTCAGAAACATGACTAGTGCTTTCTTCCCTACCCTGTCTTGAGTGACTCCATGCTTATAGCCAGAAATCTGCCATGGTGGATTATTTGCACCAAGGAAATCAGCAATTGTTTGCACCAAGGAAATCAGCTCTCCCTCTGACTTCTCACCTTCCCATCCCCCTCCAGCTGCTTGTCGAGCACGGATTGGGGATAGGAGAGAGGCTTCCTGCCCAGCTTGATTACTTACTCACTGAATGGCTTCCTCAGAGCTTCCGTTTCCTTCAGGATCCTTCCCTAGAATGGCTCAGGATTGTGGATGAATAAGTGCCATTGTATTTGCTTCCCAAGAGCGGTCCATGGACCAGCAGTACCAGCATCGCTTGGCAGCTGGTTAGAAATGTGCAGTTCCTCCCTGACCCCACCCCCAGCCTCCTGAGTCAGAATCTGCACTTTAACATGATGCCCAGGAGATGTGCATGCAGTAGCAGTTGGAGCGTCCATCTGTGTGGTGGCTGGAAGTGAGGGCTGGTCTTTCCTTGTCTTTGCCTGCAAACCCTCAGGGATGAGACCCATCCTATGGTGTCTGTCTCCCAGACGAGTGAACAGTGAGAAGAGAATTTATATTATTATACTATATTAATTATGTTATATTAATTTTATTGTATAAGTGTCCAGAAAGGGATACTTGGTGGGCATGCTCTGGAGCCCCTGAATCTGTCCGTCTTCCTGGACCTTTACCCTCTGACCCAGCTTATCATTTCTCTAGCGCTTCTGCAAAAGATTTCGCTGGATGGATAGGAGCAGATGGGATTTTGGATTCTGGGCCTCGGGGCAGCCAAAGTGTGGGAGAGGCCGCTGCGTGACCATGTTAACCAGAGGTGAGGGGGACTGAGCCCCAGGAAAGGGGAGGGGTGAAAGGTGGCCCCTCTCATGTTGTACCTTTGAGTTTCCTGAACATACCTCCTCAAACTCACATGATTCCCCCCCCCCCCCGAGAACCAACATTTGTATGTGAGCAGGACTCAGGATTCTTCAAGCAAAACCAGGTGATGGGGCGGCCAATGTGGGGGAGTAGATGAAGGCTCTCCATCCTCACAGGCAGAGCGAAGGTCAGGGCAGGCCAGGGGAGTTCCTTTCCTTCCTGTGATGTGAGGGCAACAAGGGGACTCTGATGTGACAGATGAGAGTAGTAGATGTGACCGTCAGGTGCGGATGTGGGACAAGGCGTTGCTGCGGGATCAGGAATGGCTGCCAGATAACTCGCCAGCTTTGAGCAGCCCGGGTGCCAGAGGTGAGGCAGCACGGCGCAGCAGCTCCGGCCATATGTGCCAGGGGAGGCTGCTGTACTCGCATCGCAGCCCTGCTGGTTGAGGTACAGGCAAGTTCTCATCCCCAAAGTCTCAATTTCCTCGGCCATCATTGCAATGGGATGGGGATGGCTTCCTCCTCTTGGCCATTGCCAGGATTAAGGGCGAGAGTTCACATAAAGCATTTGACACGCACACCCCTCCCAGAACTGCTGAGCTAACTGCATCCCTTAGCTGGTAGGGATGCGAGGAACATGGAGCCAGGTCAAGTTTGGCGTCGTGTGCTCTCTATTGCTAGGGGGCCGCTGGAAACGAGCTCGGTGCAGGAGGCGCCTGCCCTTCATCTGCTCCTACTAAGCCAGTGGCACAGAGACCGGATCCTGGACCCTCCTCCCTTCATACCCTCCTGGCTGCTCCCGGGCACAGGACTTCCTGCCTCCGCCTCTTTTGGTCATAAATCTAAACTTCTCACAGCATTTCATGCCTCTTGTTTATTCTCTGTTCGCTTTGGGGACTCCCCCAGGTCGGAACACTCTGGAAGTGCTCCCTCCCATAGGGTGGGGCTTTGAAGAAAGAGGACCTGGTGGGGGTGTTGAGGTATTCAGGTGCAGCACCATCTGGGGGCGGGGCACGGACTAGGCCTCCGTCTTCCAAAGACCCTTCCTAGCCCTGACTTGGGAGCACCTGGCTCACCCAGGTTCGGGGGTAGGAGCACATTTGGTGATGGGGGGGGGGTTGGGGAACTGGCCTTCCTGATTTGACCTGATTCAGAGTGGGGTTCAGGGAAGGTGGGAATGATGTCAACTGATTCAAGAATTGGGGGTGATGAGCTCTTACCTGGATAAGCTCGGGGAGGGAGGGGAACGTACTACCACCTGGGGACAGCCTGCTCTTGCGGCCCAGGTGTGCTGCACCGCAGACACTAGCCCTGATTTTCATTCTTCCATCTACCCATGGGTGGGTCAAAGGCCCCATCTTCCTCTGAGATATGTTCTCCATTCCATTCCCGGGGGGTGGGGGGCTGATCTCTTGCCTTCCCTTTCCCTGCAACCCCGCAACCCCATCGTACCTCAGTAGGAGGCCGCTTCTCGGGAGGAAGCTGCCTCAGGGGTCAAAGTCAGGGCATCTGGTAGCAGTGTGACTCCCGTCCTGGTTCTGCAGTCCCAAAGCCCTGCACTCTCACTGCAATGGGCTAATTCTTGATGCTCTGCTTCCACCACCACAGTGGGATCTGTTTGTGGGGGGTGGGGAGGGTGGACAATAAGGGAAACTCTGCATCGGTAGCTCTGGACTGATACTTTGTTTGAATGGCAACCCCCTTTGTATCAGAGTCTGCTTATCTGCTTGAAGGAGAATGGGCTCTAGCCACTCCCAGTAGCCCCAAATCCTGGCAGCCAAGGCCAGGGCTAGTGGGAGAGCAGGGAAAGGAGAACTCAGACCTTGCTTGAGGATGATTAGGGTAGATAAGATGTCCTTCACAGAAACAGCACTGGGATATTGGGTCTCAACTTCAACCATTACATACTCATTCCTTTGGCTGTTTAAGACCTTTCAGTCTCGAATAGCCCTTGATTAAAAAGCAAACACTCCGAGAAGAAACCCCTGAGAGTGTTATCTATTAATACCTCTGGGAGACTGACTGGTAACTTGCCGAGAACAAGGTTTTATGAAAAGAAACACAAGGGAAGGATGTGTGTAACTCAGTGGGGGAGGGGGTGGAAAGAAGAGAAGCCATTAAAAAGGAAGCAATGAAGCAGAGATGTGTCTCTTCCTGCAGACCTGGGAAGACTATATTTCCCAGCATTCCTTGCAGCAAGGCTGGGCTCTGTGGCATGCCCAATGCAATGGGTTGGGGACTATGTGAGCCCCGCGCTGGCCTTTTGAGCCCCATGCTGGCCTGGCATTTAAATGATGTGCTCCAATTCTCCACAGCAATCTGGGGGTCCACATGTCTTGGATGGCACAGCTACCAGGTAGAGAGGACTGTCTGATTTACTTTATTGGGAATTTGCATTTTATTTGTTACTGCAGCAAAACATGGTTCAGCCTAACACATTCAGAAATGAAGCCGCCAACAAAAGTCCTATTTTCCCCCAGAGGAATGTAGCACAGAATGTAGCACAGAATGTGTAGCTCCCACACATACCCAGGTGCCTCCCTCCAGGTACCCCCATTCAGGTGCCTGCACCCCCTGCAGAGGGACCAGCACTCCATGTCCAGTGAAGTCACCTCTGCTTTGGCTGCCCCACCCTTAACTTTTCCAGAGTGACTTTGTGAATGAAACTTATATACTTCAGGGCTGCTCACTGTTCAAGATCCCAGACTCCAGAGTCCTAAAGCTCTGGGTTTGAGTCCCTGTTCTTCCCTTTCAGTTTCTGAGCCTTACCAAGCCTCTGCTTCTGCTTCTGTAAAGCGAGGGTTGGATCAGACAATGCCTGTACATGTTGAACCACTGGCCGCGGTGCGGTAGCTTTTATGCTGCATAAAGACACCACGGAGTGTTTGGAATGAACAGGGATTCCAGTTCAAGTTTCCACGTATTGCAAATTTCTTTTTCTAGCAAATATGATTATAACAAACCATAGCAACCTCAGCTGGGTTGGAAGGAGGGGCCACGTGATTATGTTGGTGATGGTGCTGGGAGGAGGAAGCTCCTGTTCGTACTCCCCATACCAAGCCCCCAGTGGAGCGCACGGACGTGGTGACTTAGTTGAGCTGTGGCGGGAAGTCAGGCTGACATATGTGTTCACACAGTTGCCGCCGACAGGCTCCAGGCTCAAGAGGAGCTGATGCACCCGCAGGGAGATCACCCCAGTCTGAAGAAAGCCTGGGGGCAGGGCAACTCTTCCCCGAGGGTGCCTTGACCGTCTCCTCAAGGAACATTCTCAATGTTCCTCCGCTCTGCTTGCTGAGAGCTGGAGTCACAGGGGTGTGGCCAGACTCCCAGTTGGAGATGGTGGAGCTGCTCCCGCTGAATGGCTCTCTAGACACTGCCCAATTCCTGGGGCTGCCCCTGGGGAGGTGTCACCCACCATCCTGAGGAACTGGGGGGTGAAGGCGCCACGAGGGAATCTTACCCCCCCTCCCCCTGGGGTGGGATCCCTGGGGTCGGGCCTTCGCCAGGGCCCAGTTCCCACACATCCCCAAGCTGCCCCCTCCAGGTGCCCCCACCCAGGTGCCTGCATCCCCTGCAGAGGGACCAGCCCTCCATGTCCAGTGAAATCACCTCTGCTTTGCCTGCCCCCCCGACTTTTCCCGAGTGGATTTGCGAATGAAACTTATATACTTCAGAGCTGCTCACTGGCAGAAGGAGCCCCTTTTCACACCCGATTTTGAATTATTTTTTAAAAGATGCCCCAATTGTAAGTGCTTTAGGTGGCACCGAGCCTGGGCCAGCTCCTCCATGGTGCCCCGGGGGGTCTCAACGCCTTTCATCCTCGGAGAACCAGGAAGGACTTCCAGCCGATGGGGACTGTGACCTGCCAGCTCAGCAGCCTCCGGCCCTGGCCTCCTTCTCTGAGCTGTAGGGCATCTGCATCCTCTGAGGGCCACTCCGTGGCACGGGACAAGCCATTCGCTCTCCCTGTTCTCTAGTGCAACCAAGAGATTCGGACAAGACGGTTTCGAGGCTCCTGCAGTGTCTGTCATTGGGCCCTAGGGGACAGGCCTGCTGGCCCCTGCAGAGGACGCCAGGCCTCATTGTCGCCTTTTTCTGTTTTTTAGGGAGGACTGCTGACCCCCAGCAGGGCCCCAGGTCTGGGAATCAGGTCCCGCCCTGATCTGGCTGAGTGTGTGTATGTGTCTGTGCGGGGTTTCGGAGCCAGAACAGAAACAGCCCCTCCTGGCTTGCAGAGGGCACTGTGGGGTGAGGAGTCATGCCTCCTATGTCCTTCTGACTTTGGGACCCACCCAAGTCAGAGAAGGAGAGCCCACACCACTGTCTAACTGGTCTCCCCTGAAATTGGGTCTGCCTGGGCTTCTGGAAAGCAAGGGGCTTACTTTTTATTAAGTTGAAGGTGATCATGGTCAGGTCGGGGAGGCCAAAGCAGCCATGGCCAAAGTGGCCAGAACGCCCCTGGGAGTTCAGTCCTGTGGGGTGTGGGCGACGGAGCTGGTCAGTCCTGGCGTCCACTCAGCGCTCTTCCTGCCTGGCTGTGTGGCCTTGGGCGGGTGGCTCAGTGTCTGTGAGCCTTGGTTTATCTCTAACATTGGGAAACTACTAATCTACCTCCTAGGACTATTCTAAGGATTACATGAGATAATTGCGTGAAAGTACCTGGCACTCATTATTACTATTATTATTTCTACTCTTTGGAAGGGGGCCGACTCAGGGGAGCTTGGGAAGCAGACAGGGGTGGGACAGGGGTGAGGCTGGGGTCTTAGCAGGGAGCACTTCCTATCTGCGGGAGCACTGGGAGGCTCGGGTCCCAGCTGTGGCCTCACGGGGTGAATAGCAGGAAGAGAGATCCCCTCTGCCATCCCCCCGCCTTGTCTAGGTGGGGGCCGCTGTTGGGAGGCCTGGAGCCCAAGGGTGAGCGGGGGCCCTGGGAAGAGGCCCTAGTGGCTGAGGGAATAGGCCCCCGAGTCTGTAGATTGCTTCTCCTCTGTCGTCTGGTCACTGGGGTACACAGGGTTGGCTGAGGCGGCGACTTTCAGTGTGGTCTCGTTCACCTGCAGGCAGGAGGGTGGGTTTATTGTGTGACTGTGGGGGCCTCCTAGGGGATCCCCATTGGACAGTCTCAGCAGGGAGCACATGGCTGGTCATTGGGGAACTAGAGCACATCTGTGTGACCCTACTCTTTCCTTGCCCCTCAAGAGCAAACAAACCACAGCCCACCGGGTCTGTCCTGCCGGGACAGGCAGTGGGGGGACGGGTGGAGGCAATGCAGGCAGTGAGGACCCACAGAGGCCCAGTGCAGGGTAAGATAAAAATGTATCAGACTTTTCTGCCCTCCCGCCATTAGGATTGATGATGGATCCTTGTGGTCCTGAATGCTTGTCTGATGGCGGGCACCTGGAGTAGGGTGTGGGCATGCGTAAGTGGGTACACCTGGGCTAAGGCTGGGCTTATAAGGGCGGTGTCACGGGGACGCCAGGAGAGCAGAACCATGAGAGGGAAGAGCAGAGAAGCAGAGAGGATGAGAGAACACCAGAGAGCCCAGATAGAGTGAAGACTTGCTGGGGGCTGGGAGGCCTGCCAGCCTCCCTACACCCCAACACCCCTGCCTGCCGTGTACCTGATAAATCCCAATAAGAGCCTGCCAAAGCCACTGAGGGCTCCAGGATTCCTCCTTCACCCATTTGCTGGAATCATAGAAAAACCTGCTCTGGCCCTTCCTGCCCCTACACCCAGGTTCTCTGTGGAGCCCACGCGTGAGCCCCGGATAGAAACTGAGACCCAGAGCACTCCCTGTCAGAGGCCCCCAAAAGGTGAGCTGCTGAGCACCCCTGCGGTCCAGCACCTCTCCC